CCCCCCCCCCGTTGGGCTTTTCCTTCCCAGGGGGCCCCACAAGCCTCTCCTTCTCCTGTACAAGCATCCAGAAGTTCTTTGCCTTGTTTCCAGGAGAACAGAATCTGGGGAATCATCTAAGCTTAGAAAACAACTCCCAGGCATTCCCTTGTTAGGGCACCAAAACACTTCCCAAACCGGCAGGTTTTTGGGTAATGCAAGGCTCTTCATTGGGCTAGACGTTCCAGAGGTTGGGGTGTCGGCGTGTGCAGGAGAAACAGGAAGGATTCTCATCATGAAATCGCCCTCTTAGAAGGCTGTGGTGCTGGAGGTCTCGCATCCTGTGGGCCTCCTGGAAATAGAGCCAGCCTGGGTGGCCTTGGCCAAAAGCCGCACAGTCCCAGATCCGCCTCCAGAAGAAGAAGGGAAGGGGAGAAGGCTTCTGAGTGCTCTCTGCCCGGAGAACCCTGGAAACGGCCCTCTGGGGTCAGAACCAACTTCATGGCATCGTCTTCTTCTTCTTCTTCTTAAAATTATTGCTTGTTTGCTTGCTTGCTTGACATATGCACCTTCCTAGTGCCTGTGACACACACACACACACACACACACACACACACAACACACACACACACACACACACACACACACACACACACACTTTCTCCATGCCTGCCCTGACAGGATGCACCTTAAGAGCTCACGGACACAGGTGTCCAGAGGGCTGCCGGTATGCGCTAAACATGCACACTCCCCTCTTCCCTCTGCCAGCACCTCTCCCAGTAGGTGCTGGGGCAACGGCCAAGCATTCTTCAAAGGAGCCCATCCGTGGCCATTGCAACAGGGCTCAGCGTCAGGTTCCATGAGGACGTTTGCCTTCTGAGCCGCTCTTACGCCACCTCTCAAGCGCTTCCTGCCCCTGCCTTGAGCAACGCCTGTGCCGCTTCCTCAAGGGGCCGGGAGGCTCTTCATGCTCCCTCCTCATGCTCCTCTGTCTCCATGAGCCCCCGACTCCTCTCCTGAGAAGCAGACCTCATGCGTCTGTCTGATCCTATCAGCCGGTGTTCAGCCTCAGCCTGGTCCCGTTCCCTTTGGGCTGAGGGCATTTGGCCACACCTTGCACACGGGGGCAGGGCTGTTGTGGGACTGAGCACCCCAACAGCCACGACCTTCTCTCGGCCAGGCAGCCTCGGGGCTTCTCCTTTCTGCTGATGGCTGAGTGAGAGGCCGGCCAAGGTATTTAGGGCTCCCGGTTCCTTTGATTTGCAGAAGCTCCCCTTGGCAGCCCCAGACCCTTGAATCGGGGCCAGTGGAAATGGAGTGGCTTTCGCTGCTGGGCCTCAGGCAGCAAAGGGTGTGGAGCTACTCACGGGCAAAGTTCCAGACAGGCAGCCCTGTGGGGAAGCGAAGAAGCCAGCAGCCAGGACCCGCTGGGGCTACTTTCTGTGGGTCTGCCCTCCAGCTTCAGCTGCCCCAGAGAGCCCATCTCCAGCCCTCTTGCTCCTATGGCACATTGGGGGGGGGAGAGAGGAGAGAGAGAGACACACACAGAGAGCTCTTTGCAGAAGGCCCCCTGCTCTCTGGCCACAAAGGGGGAACACCAGACATGGCCACCCTTTGGGGAGCTCCCGGCGGTGTCTGTCTGTGGGGGGGGGGGGCTGGG